GTTGTGGAATTGATTACCTATTTCATTAGAAAGGTTTTGCATCTGTCATCAGCGTTTGTCCATCTAGTTACAACACTGCATTTTTCTTTCTCCCGAAATACACGGATTTGCGTTAGATAAATATAATTTGCGGAAGGATTCGATTTTCTATTTCAATTGGAAGAGGCTGAAGTCCATCGAATGCTTGAGGTTGTTAATAGCGAATCTGCACCGACCTATAAATTATACAGAGTGTGATTTTCATACTTCAAAAGTGGTGATTTTAGTGTCGAAAACAAAAAGTATTCTGATAGAACCAATAGGATGTGGTGTACTTTGAGCTGCTAAGGCCAGACGAAATTATTGATGCCAGCCAGAAACGACCGAAAGGCATGACAAGCTGATCTTGCAACAGGACAATGCTCGGCCCACGTGAATGTAAGGGTTAAAAACTGCCTGACAACGCTGAAGTGGGTGGTCTTACATCACTCTCCGTAATTTCCAGACCTTACTTCTTCCGGCTACGGGCTTTTTCGTTAGATGCAAAGCGATTTGGGCTACCACCGGTTCGGTAGAAATCGAAAAGTGGCGCAATCGAGGATAGGAAGGATTCATTTCTTAGAGATGGTATTCGAAAATTATTGTGATTTGGGAAAAAATAGTCACTTCCTATGGACAATTATTTCAATAAAAAACACTTTTTTGAACACATACAAAGGGACTGCATTGATTTGTAATTTTTGAAGAAAAGACCAACCTAACTCGTGCCGTCTTGGGTTATGTATGTTATGTATATTTAATAATATTTTTATGTGTTAATGCACAGCATGACTTGACTAATACTCACACATGTCGACTCTATGGAGTATCTAAATTATTTATTAGTTACTTTTTTCTATGGAAATATTGTGTAAATATGAATGAATGTGGCATAAATAAATCAATTTGCCGTTAAGGCAACACAGATCGTGTTTAAATGGCATTTAACTTATCTGTAATTACTTAATGTGTCAAAGATTTAAATGATTTCACCGTTAGAATTGCATGTACAGCTCTTTTTATGACAATCTCTACACTGGCGTCGCTAAAACTTAATTTACATTATATGCAGGGTTTTCCAATAGGAAGTGTTTTTTGATTCTCAACGAAAAATGATATTTTTTGAGAAAAATTATCGAATGCTTATTTCAATGTAAATATGAAGCTATGCCATTATAGATGGAAAACAATATCAGCCAAATCGCCGCCCCGACTACACTTACAGGACCGTTTCCATGTTATAAAATTTTCCAACACCAAATCGAAAAGTGGTTGCTGTATGCCCAGAGTAGCAGTTTCTTTTCGGATCTTGAATTCCCGTTGGACCGTTCGGGTAGACCTTTTCTCTAACGGGGCCTTAAAAGAAGTAGTCACAAGTTATTTAATCACAAGATCTTTGTGGCCAATTGCGTTCAACTCTTTGAGAGATACAAGTAGTACTTTTCGGAAGCTTTTCCCTTAAAATATCGTTGGTTTCGTTGCTTGTGTGCCACGTAGCGCCGTCTTGTTGATAGTAAACGTTGACCGAATCAATATCATTTAATTCCGGTTATAAAAAATCAGTATTCATCACCGTAACTGTTGCTCCAGCTTCATTTTCGAAAAAGTAAGGGTCAATTACACCGCCGAACCATAAACCGCACCAAACCGTGTTACATGGTGAGGAGAAGGAGAGGATTTTCAATAATAATTCTTGGGTTTTAGGAACCACAGATGCGACAGTTTGCCTTATTGACGTTACCATCGAACTGGAAATGGGCTCCATCTAGTCAATATGAATTTTCGATGAAATTTCGGATCATTTTCAGGCATTTCAAGTACCCAATCAGCAAAGACATGATCTTGTTTATGATCTACCGGCTTGAGCTCTTGTGTTAACTGAACTTTATAAGGCCCCAGACTCCAAAGTACAACGAAGAATAGACAATCCTGGGTTTTCTTCAACACTTTGAGCCATAGCACCAATATTCTTAGTTGTTCTGGAGCGACTTGGACGTGTTTTATTCTTCATATCACTAACTTGTTCCAACAGCTCCATTTTTTTCACCAATTCGTGTACTGTTGCTTGTCAAATGTCAAAAAAATACAGTTTCAAAAGTGACAGCCACCGGAATAGTAGAGTATTCAATATGGCAACTCTTATTGGAAAACCGTTTATAATGTGTACATACTTATTTACAAACGTTTATATGTGTGACTAAATAACTTTTGCTTTTTAGCACGTTTCGAAATAATTTTCCGTATTTAATTAATTTTTTATTTCCATGTGAAATGCATGAAAAAATAATAAAAAAATTTTGCTTACTCAATAAACTTGCTTCTTTTATAGGTTTTTTTTTTGTGATGTAAGGCAAATAAAAACATTGCAACAGCTAAAATTTTAAAATCTCGTAATAAAACAGTCACGGGGAGGTCGGAGCCAAGGGGTAAACTGGTAAAGAACATGGTTGGGTTTAAGGTGGCAACACTGCCGTATAGCCGTGGAAGTGTAGAACAAGGATATGATGACCCCGAATTCCCAATTAATGATTAAATGCAAGGAAATTCCAGTACCCGACTACCTCCGAGTACCAATTACCTGCTTAACTGATAAACAACCGGCGGGAGATGATCCTTTGCTGATTGAGCTGTTTAAATGACACGGTGCATGCATCAGAATCATTTGCCGAATATGCTCGGACAAAAGCATAGCTGGTTATTGGAACCCAAAGGTTTCTAGGGGTAAGAGGTTCAAGAATATCATAATGCTAAGGCATGTCCCTCTGACGCTAGGGTCTTCATATCAGAGTGATCCAGATTTTTATCTTTCAACATTACTCGAACACCATTTTTGGGGAATACTTATGAGATTACAAAAACAATAACAACACTGAAACCTGGAACCTATGGGTGCTCCACGTAATCCATATAAAGGAGGGACCCCACATCCAAGATCTATCCGCATTAAGCCTTCACAATATCGCATATAAGGTCTTATCTAGCGCATTATTTGAAATATATTGAAGCCCACGGCCCACAAACTGATTGAGATACAGCGATTCCAAGGTAATAAGCTAGCTACGTAAAAAATTTCATGCAAATCGAATCAAAATCTTGGTTTCTGTGATTGGGTGAGCCTTTTGGATCACAAATTTACTACACCGAAAACTGACTTTTTTCTTGAGACGAGCATCCACCATCACAAGTATTTCCGCTTTCTCTTGTTCAGAGCGAATGCTGTCTTCAATTTTAACTCCTCCATCGCTACAAAACGTAATTTTTCGTGTGTATTTGGATCTCGGGAACAAGAAAAAGTTGATAAAAAAGAAATAATACGAGTACGTTAGCTGATGCTGGAGATTACGGTTTTGCTTTTGGCCAAAAAAAAATTACGTACGAGCAATGAAAATACTGCAACGCGTTCTTTATAGTACTTCACGCTAACGTAGCCTAATCTCATTGTGGTTCTCTTTATTATTATTCCATGTACTTGTACTAAAAAGCTCTGGAAGAAAGCAATAAGGAATAAGCTTTGATATTTCGTCGAACTTCGCCTGTACTTTATGATCCTGGCTCTGCCACGCTCTTCTTCATGGGACGACTGGGTTTTGATTTCGATGTTCAAATCATATATCATATATCCCTTATTTGTACACCAATTGTGACCCTTTTTAGCAAATCATGATAATTATTAACTGCATTCCATAATTTTTGAGCGACATTCCTGTGACGTTTTTTTTTTAAATAAAAATTCAGCAATTTCGGACCGAAGTGCTGAAAAATTTTCTGTAAAAATTGCATTCTCAGTAACTTCCCTCATCGTGATTTGTAGATTCTCTTTAACAATTTTCTTAACTTCCTCAACACTTTCATTGGTTTTTATTGTGATTTGCTAGAGCGTTCACAGCGGGCCGTGCCATTTACATCTTCCCGAATTTTTCTGAAAAACTTGTACCACTTCAATTTTTTCTACCCATATTTCAGATCTTCTCAAGGTATTTATGTATTTCCATTTAAGCATAAAATTTGGTGTAATTTCTTTGCCAACAAAAAATTAAGGAGCCCGTAAAACACTTCTGAACTTTATGCCTCTTGCAAATCAACTATGAATGAAACTGAATATTTTCGATATGTACAAAAAAAATCGATAATCGATAAATTCACTAGGGCCTAGTGTAATTATTAAAAATTTAATACACAAAAATTCGTACTTTCTAAAAAAATAAATAAAAACTGCATCGCCTAATGCAATTCATAAATTTATTTTCTACTTTTTTGAAATAAAACTGACAGCTGCTGTCAAACAGGATTGTCAAACTGGGATTTTTTTATACAATAACATACAATGAGAATACCCCACTGTTATCGGTAAAGTAAATTTTGTTACTTTTCTTTAACACCCGAAAATGAATTTGGTATTCTGGCGAACTGGTTACAATGTTTGAAAAAAATTTGGCAGCACTGCTTCTTTCGTCCATGTCAAATTACATTTGCCAGTTGATAAAGTAAAAAGAAAAATATTCACATCGAAATGGAAGACGGTGCATAAAAAAATTAAAAAGTTTTTTTTAATTTGTTTATTAAATCATAAATATTTGAACCTAATTATGGAAAATATGCCTAGACAATAAAACAAATCTAAATGAAAACGTTATCTTACAAATTAAAGGGCTATTTCTTAGTCTCGAAAACTTTTTAAAATACGGCTTTTTGTACTTTTTTCTTCATCTTCAATAAATATCAGGCCTAAAATATGCCTATCCATTTTGGTTTTTTATTTTTTCTCAAGCTTACAACACAAAAGCAAACAGCAGATATTTTTGTTACCTCCTATTTCGCTGGTAACAAAATTTACACGGTGACATTGAACTCAGAATACGAAATAGTAACAAAATTTACTGACTGGTAAATTTTAATACCAAAGTAAATTTTGTTGTCTCGACAGAATAGGCCTGTAAGCAGGCATATTTAACTATTTACTCGCATATACAACAAAAACTTACCGTAAAATTTCCCTTCCTCCGCTTGCAGCACACTATAAATGCGCCGTGCCACGCCACTCGTTATATGCACAATCACTGAAATCACTGCAATCACTCGTTACTGCCACCCACAACAAACCACGTAATGGCGACGACTAGCTCACAATTTTCTTGTTGTTTGATGATCCCGTTGTTGTACTCGTACATATGGTAGTGTGCAGACGCGAGCAGAACGTGTGAGTTCATTAAATTTTTGGTTTATTGTCGATATTTGTTGATTTAATTTATCGTTAATATGATAAGTAAATTTAGCTTTTTATAACTTTATATACAAATTTTACATATGCGAGTACACAAACAAACATATTATACATACATACATAAATACATACATATATACACATACATGTGCTTACTATCAGCCGGTGATAGCGCAATGCATTATCATCAGCCTATTGTTGTTATTATTATTGTAGTAATTATTGTATTAATTGGTTATGCACATATACACATACATTTGCAGTGCTGTTCTGCGCCCTTTCCGATATAATTTTATTTATGCATATATGTATATTTGTTTTATTGCCGCCGGCGGGTATTAGTCATTTGGCAATTCAGTAAATCTTGTAGCAAATTAATGTTTAAGTACAGGTGAACATATACAATATGTACATATGTGCGTGCATGTGTTGATGTGCTTGTAAACCACTTTGGTGTGTTTCCTACAGGTGTGTTGATACAAAAAAATTTTAAGTAAGAATGAATTTTTAATTAAAAATGCCGCGCACGTTGGTTCAGTGTTGACAGCAAAATTATCGCACGTACATATGTGTACAGTTTTGGGTGAAATAATGGCAGCAAAATAAGTATTAAAAAATTGATTCAATAAAGAATATTTTCTTCTTCAGGTTTTTATAAATAAAAATTTTATTTGAATTTTTGGAATTAAAAACTATCAAAATTTCCAGTTTACACGTAAAGTAAAATTTTTTCAGCTCTGATTTTCTAAAAGGTTCAACACTATAGCGAACAAAATTTCGTTATAAAATTTGGCAGTAAGTGGTAATTGATAAACAAAGTTTTAGATTGTTATTGTATTTTCGCACATCACTGTAGTTTTTGAAAATGCTCGCATGCATGTTTCCTTCCTCATATTATAATTCAATAACACAGTTGCGTGATATAGATTTTTTTTTGTTTATTGATATAAAACATTTCTAAAGACTGTCTTTTGCAAGGCGTGTAATAACACTTTCAAGCAAATATATCAGTACATAAGCCGGTAGATACTCATATGTATTCATTGGAGGTTCGAAAGAAATTAAATGCCTTGAAAAGTATTCTTCTTCTTTTTTTTTGAAAATATTTTTATTTTCTTGCCTTGCAGTTTTATTTCTTTTAAATCTTCTATAAAAGTTTTTTTTTGCAAGAACTGCATACGGACCCTCTTATGAGTTGCTTTCCATTCCTACGGTTTACCTTATCGTGCCTTTTGCTCATTTGTACTATTCACAATAGTATATTTATGGCAGTTTAAATTTATACAAATAAAATAAACTAAAATGACGGCCGCGGTAGCCGAGTGGTTAGCATTGCGTACTGCCATTCGGAAGGCTCAGGTTCAAGTCCTAGTGTCGTACTGATATCCAAAAAGTTCTAGAAAATTTATTTAATTTATAAAATTTATTTATTCAACGCCACCAAGTGCATTTCTGACATGAAATAAAAGCTCCTCAAACAGAACCCATCAGCCGGTTCAGAGGCGGCTTAGTATAAACTGTGAGTTCTCATCCATTCGTTGGAAAAACATCAAAACGCAAAACCACAAATTGGAGGAGGAGGAGTTCGGCCGATAATCGCTTCAACGGATACAAAACGCCAATATATAGTACAAAATGGTTACGACAATTTACTAGAAGCTGAAGCTTTAATGGAATTTAGTAGCAGCGTGAAACACGCTTTTAACTCCTGACATCCAGTCTGCCAATTTTTCGCCGCATGAACTTTGTATCGAAAGCGTTTTGCAAACTGAAAATTTGTTCCAGCAATGAAACAGAGGGGCACCGATGAACTTTAAAATATCTTTACGAAAGTGTAATCTAAAACATGGTTACGGATGCAACAGCGTCCAAGTAACTCTGCATGGAAATCGGGTAGAATGTATATAACTCCTTCATTGTCCCTGCTAAGGGCTTCCTTAATAAATTGCAAGGTATGTCGAATACCGGCACCATAGACCATCAAGGAAATCGACTCCATGATTTCTTCTTTTGCGTAGAACTCAAAAATATAGTCTCTTGCACCTACTACTCTTATTCTTTCTATAACTCTCTCAGCATCTTCCGAAAGGATTTTCTGCAAGTGTGAAAATCACCTGAATTGCAAATCACACGAATCGAGGCTGGGCCGCTGGTCACTAACTACCATCTTAGACTTTTCGGTGCTTTCAAAGTTATCTCAGCCTGTGAACTCTGGAAGAAAACTCAATAAGGTCTTGCTTAAGATGTAAGGTCCTCTTTGAGTTTGGAACGGCGAATATAGCAACCTATGCAAAAATTACCTGTGTGAGATATACGATGACATTGACATAGTTCAGTGAATCAAGAAACATCGACTGCGCTGGCTAGGTCATGTAGTCCGGATAGATAAGAATACTCCAGCTTTGAAAGTTTTCAACGCAGTACCCGACTGTGGAAACAGAGGAAGAGAAAGACCTCCACCCCGTTGGAAAGACTAGGTATAGTAGGACTTGGCTGTATTTGGTAACGGATCTTACACCGAATTGAATCGTTCGTTCAAGGAGTTTTGAGATCCTTGTAATAAAAATGGGAAAATGGCTTATAAAATCTATAACCTAACCGCGCAATTTTTTTTTTGCTCAACGACTTGATGATCGCTTTGCTGAAATATCAGCCTTAACGATGAAGCTCACCCCGACGGCTACGTTAACAAACAAAGCTAACGTGTTTGGTGCTCAGAATACCCAAACGTGAGTTTGTAAAAGCCAGTGTATCCTCAAGAAGTGACAGCTTAGCACAGTAGGTGGAGCGGCGGTTTCATAGGTCCGTTCTTGTTGAGGAGAATAATATGGATGATATATGATTTCAACAAGACGACGTTACGTGCCCCGTAGCCAATGTTATTGTACTATCGATCTTTTGGGCATAATTTGACTCCACTAGACTACTTTTCGGGCAGGGTCATTAATGATGAGTACTATGCCAAACGCCCAGAGACGACTCATGACTTGAAACACGAAATTGAAGTCGCCATTGCAGCTACAGTGGTCACACCAACGAAAATGTGTTCAAAATTTTTGAGCCGACAAGCAGCCTAGAGTGGACTACTGCAAAGCCAGCAGTATCAGCCATAGGAATGAGTTGGTGCTCCATCATTTCAATAAAGACACAATCATTTAACGAAAGACAGTCTACAAAATGAAAACACCAATGAAGAGACACTTGAGCCTCGCCCTTATGCCGTTTACACTCATAGAAGGCCATTTTTTGACTCGCCACCGACAATAAAAAATTAAACGAAAATGACATTGATAGTTTACTGAATACTAATTAAACTCACTTCAAACACAAACAATGACATTGTATTAAATAAATAATTATTTTGGAAGATATTAATTCACTACACTTTGATTTTAAATTGAAAAAAAATAAATAAAACTTACTTATTTTTATTATAAAACAAAATGTTAAAAAAGTTAAAAAAATAAAAATATATAAATACACAATAATGTTAATAATAAAATTTAAAAAATTAAAAATATTAAAGAACAAAATGAAAATTACGAAAAAAATAATAAATAATAAAAAATTTGTATGAAAAAAATAAATAAAAATGTTAAAAACATAATTTAAAAACAAATAAAATAAATTAATAAAATAAACACTGCATTGAAAGATATTGAAGAACAAAATGAAAATTATGAAAAAAATAATTGATAATAAAAATAAGTGTTATGAAAAACAAAATTAATAAATAAAAATCTTAAAACTAAAATTAAAAAGAAATAAATATAAAAAATTGTAAAGAACAAATTGAAAATTATAAAAAGAAAAATAAATAAAAATATTAAATCTGAACTTCAAAAAAAGGAGGAAATAATTAAAATTGTTAAGAAGAAAAAAAGAGTTACTGAACACATATGTATGTTAAAAAATAATTAAAAAGTAAAATAAATAAATAAATAAAATTTGTTAAAAATAGAAAACAAATTAAAAAAAAAAAATAAATAAAAATAAGAATTGTAAAAAAATCCACAGCAATTAAATAGCAATTAGTTTCATTCACACTTATTTCATTTTTTTTCTAAATTTTCTTGCATATATGTATTGCACCTTTACGCGCACAACCGAACGTTTATCTCTACACTTGCACGAAACATACACTTTATAGTTAATAAAGTGCTAAAGTTTATCATTAAATCGATTTTCACACGTGCTTTCTTTCATATTTACCCAATAACACACATACAGACATACATGCTCGTACATCTAAGCAAATGTATGTAATTTATTTCCTTTTCCGACAATGTTAATTTTTCAAAACAGATTTGTAGCACAAAAATGAATAAGCAAATTTTTCTGCGCATACTCCCACCGAACGAAGCGGCCAAGCACAACAACTAACTAAACTAACTACGCGCGATAAATGATTGAGACGTCCGCGCACTTTGACTGTTCAATGAAAACTTCAGAGTAGCGCAAATTTGAGCTTTGCGACTGAGGTGTTTCGTCGTATTGTGCATACTTAGCAGCCGCAGCCGATGAATGGCAAGGCAATTGAGACGTTCGCCAATAATCAGTTGCAGACTGGTGAGCGCTTGTCAATACGAGGTAAATAATTGGTGGTGAGAGAAAATATTATTGTTAACAAGTGAAATGCATTGTATATTCCACCAACCCGCACACACAAACAGATTAGAAAAAAGTGTAGGGTACTAATGTAGATACCACTGGTTGATCCTGGTTGAGCAGAGAACTTATAAGTTCTCTGGTTGAGTGCTTAGTCTCCAGATCTGTCAATCTGCGAATATGGCTAATATCAGAGTTAACGCGGGAGCCCATTCACTGGGCAAAGAGAGAAGAACGAAGTATTTAGATAGCTCGAAACTATATCATCAAGGATACCCAGCAGAAAAACTGTGACCAGAACTTTAACAATTGGTTTGTCTCGTTAGAGACCGCAAAATAATCCCCCAATTGATTTTTAGGAGATATTGCAGTCCTTGGCCGGATACAAATCCGGGTCATTCCGGTGTAAAGACCCGACTCTCGCGAGTACTATTGGATTATAGTCGCCTCTTACAACATTCACGGGTAAATTCTTAAGCAGCATCTAAGTAGCTATAGATAGCTTTTTTTGTTGCATACACAAATCAAGAAGCAGAAGAATATAACTCCTTTTGGAAAGACACAGAAAGCAATCAAAGGCTGAAATCATCACAAGGGGTGTCTTAACGGGTTAGGGATTCAAGCCTTTACACGGGTCAGGCATGCATGTCGTAAGAGTTTTTAAAATCTAGCAGTTTCTGCGACAGTTGGGTGTTTAAATGGGAACAAAACGGAATTTCAGCTTGTGTGCTTAAAAACCAAAAATTTTTTGCAATTACAGTTACAATTACAAGCGTTAGAAATGGCAGAAGATCGTGTAACCAAAATTCTGCCATAATGCATTTCGCAAGGTGAACTTTAGTAAGGAAAGCGCAGGGGAGACAGAAGACCACTGACTAACCGTTCTATAGCTAACGTTGGGAGTCTAAGGCCTTCGGTGAAAGATAAATCCATTTGTACATAAGCAAAGGCAATAACTAAATAGAAATGTGAGCTCAAAGATGTCACCATCATTTAAGAAAAAATATGGCTGAAGGCGAACAAATATCGACTTATCAACAAAACGAATAAAACAAGCTTTAAGAAGCTGAAAGACCTAAGGCTTATTTTTATGCCACTAAACCCTTAGAGGAACGAGCTTTAAAACGCGTTTTCGCAAGCAGACAACAAACCTGAAAGCTTTGATAAGCTTTGAAACTTGAGTTCATAAAATATCTGAAGAGCTTTCTACATAGAATTTGTTCAAAAATTTTCCAGCAGCTCGAGCTTTTGAGCGCCAAGTACTTACAAGCTTGTTTAATGATTGTTACTAGAAAACTTACCAGCGCAAGTTAGAACATTTTAAACAAAATTTTTGAAGTTTTTACTATAACTTTATTCTAAATGTTGAAAGGCTCGTAGATTTTGGAGAGAAAGTTGAACAACAGTAGAGTGAAAATCGTACCCTCATTGCTCCCTACCAGGGTATCAACTAGAGCTCTAGCCTATACTACCCATATTGGTAGTACGGCAAGGCACGAACGATCGATCTTCTACAAAGTAGCATACTCTTGTTCTATGTTCTATGTGAAATTGAATGGGCATTCATTAAAGCCATGAAATAGGCTTCCAATATAAAGTTTAGGAAGAAAATGAGCCCATGATCTGTTTTTGAAAAATCTTCACAAATTATTGAGTTGGCAACGCACAAATAAGAAGAGTTAAAACTCACTGAACAGCTGTTAGCAGCATAAAATTAAACAAACAGAACTAAACGTAAACAAAATAATTTGCTTGAACCGCGTTTGTCTGTTTCAAAAAAAAATTGTTAATTATATTTACAACAATAAATATACTGCCTAAAACTGCAATGGAATACGATTATTGTATTAAAATAAAACATCTATTCAATTAGTTCTGAAAGTGGAGCTATTGCTACAAACTATATATGTGCATATTCACATAATTATTAAATGAAATAATTTTCACAATAAGTGGCAGTATGCAAAATAAATTTATTTTATGCAAAATAGCCGTGGAGCGCGGAACAACTTCAGATGAGACGACACAGGACGACTCTCAGTTAAACAGTTTTCAATGGAATGACAAGCATTGGAGAACGCTCTTTCCATTATCGCCTGAGATCTTGGAAAAATGTTACAAACGAAAGCTTTCGAAAAATATTGTAATTGCTTTTGAGGAAATTGTTGACAAACAATGTGATAAATGTATTTTAGCGATGACTTATAATGCAAACAAAATGCGTATGTCATTGGAAGAGCAATGCCTGTTGCCTAATCTTTTTGACAATTATATAGAAACTATAGGATATCAAATCCAAGCAACAAATGACACTGAAGTTGAGCCTGAATCAAGTGCCGAGAACGCCAACTCTAAAAAGCAAACATTGATGCAGGAATATGTAACTACCGCACTTTATGATGCATTATATAAAAAACACAATGACAAAAATACATTGTCTGAACGGAAAATGCCGGCATTACCGATAAGTTTTCAGGCAACATTGTGCAATTACCAGGTGCGCACAGTACTCTGGTTATTACAACGTGAGCAGGAAGTTTCAAGTTTTCCACATTACTATACTAAGCTACAGGCACGCGATGGTGAAACAATTGTATATAAACATCTCTTAAGCTGGCACATCCAAGCAACCAAGCCAGCACTAATTATGCTGCAACCTGGCGGTATACTCGCCGATGAAATGGGTTTGGGTAAAACAGTGGAAATGTTAGCACTTATTGTATTAAACCAACGAAACTTGACTTTGCAAGCTACGACACTACCTGCCTCATTAACCGTTAATGACGAGCCGGAAGTGAAACGCAAACGTCATTCGAAAAGTTTATTTTGCATTTGCTTCAAAAAAACTGCAAAAAAATTACAAAAATGTAATCGTTGTTATTTAGAACAACATTCTGGCTGCGTGAGCAAATTTGATGTGGAAATAGACAGTGATGAGGGTTACATATGTCCAAGTTGTTGGTACGATGCCACAAAAGATAAACCACTTCCTGCTGCTACAACATTTATTGTTACGCCAAGCACTATAAAAGCACAATGGTTAACGGAGATTAAGCGGCACATCAGACCAACACTTAAGGTTTTCGATTACAACGAAGCGGTTGCATCAAATTGGATTAGTCCACGTCAGCTGGCATCTTACGATATCGTACTAACCGATTACTGTGTATTGCGTCGTGAATTATACCATACCAGTGAGTATGTGTCCGAACGGGTAACACGAAATGAGCAGCGTGCGATGCGGCGCTTATCACCACTGCTGATGGTGCAATGGTGGCGCGTGTGCCTAGACGAAGCACAAATGGCCGAGTCGAATACTTCTAATGTGGCTGCTATAGTACGGCAATTACCGGGTAACAAAACACAAGGTGCTTAAACTATTAAATGTATTTATTAAAAATATGATCTTTCCTACAGCTGTAAACCGTTGGGCCGTCACAGGTACGCCTATACAACGCAGTATAGATGATTTGTGTGGTCTATTGAAATTCATTGGTTTTGACGAACCAATTACACCGCTAAGCAGTTGGAGAGCTCTGACAGATGATTTTATAATACGACAAAATGATTCCTTCGCCGCTGATGACACGAATCTGACACTTGTTGATGTACTGCAACGTTGCATGTGGCGCACATGTAAAACCATGGTCGATGCTGAACTACGTATACCACCACAAACTGAGCAAGTGCATCGCATAAGATTGAGTAATTTGGAAAAATTATTTTATAGTGAACAACATGCGCTATGTGAGAGTCGCTTCGAACATGTGTTACAAAAACATTTGGGTAGTGATGAAGTTATATTAAAGATATCACCAAAAATAATGAAAATTGTAAGTGTTGCTGAATACCATAAGTTTCGTAAATTCAAAAAAAAAAAAAAAAAAAAACTAAACTGATTTTTGTTATTAAGATCTTAGCACCTTTACTGAAAATACGCCAATCCTGTATTATACCAGTTGTAAATATGGGCAGTGGGCCGAATAAAAACTCAACTAATGTACAGCAAAAGCAATTTCTACAACCAAAGGATTTGCATGCGCATCTTAAGTCCACTAATGAGATTGAATGCAAAACTGAATTGCGTACCATGGCATCATCATATAATGGTAAGTGTGAAAATACATATGTACAATACATAATTAGTAAGCAAGACGAAAGTTAAATAATTTTAAATAATTTAATTCAAATTACAGGTATGGCAGCAATATATTTTATGAAAGGCAATTATGAAGAGGCAATTAAAAGCTATGAAATGGTACTGCGTTTGGCACGCGATTACAATAATATGAAAATAAGGTATGTACATATATACATTTAAAAAACTTTTAGCCTTATTTTTATTTTTCTTCTTTCGGCAATTTTTTGTTTTTTACAGTGTCGACAGTTTATTGCAAATCCATGCTTTACACAACATTCTCCAAGCCTGTTACTCGTCACCAACAAAGATTAGTCAATCTACCACCGATTTGATGACTGAATATGAAAATGAGTGTAATGCTTTGGAATGGAAATATCTGGAACCATATGCCAATAGTATGATAGGAATGCGTACACTTTGCAACAATGCAGAAGAAACGCTCATGAGACTGGAAGCTGGCACCGATGCGTCACTGCTCGAATTTATCACTATACTGGCGAATGAAATTTGCTTACAAACGAATGAATTTGTAATTGCTTTATTAAATCGTTTTCACGATGAATTCACAACCACTTTTGGTGGTAATCCAAAAATTGCAAATCTACAAAGCGTATCTGGTATGGTCTACATAGTGGAAATTTGGTATAAAAAAGTGGCAGAGGCGCAAAAATATATAAATAAAGAATTTGAAAATTTAAAATTCTATACCATGAATGTGACGGCAAGTGCCAAGAGTACGCCCGCCATTTGGCGTGAAATGACAAAATTCATACGCCAAGTCTACGATTGTCATCTTAGTGACATACTGGTGAGTGATGGCAATCAATTCCGATTTTATAATTTAATTTAATTTAATTTAACTCCTTAATTATAATATTTTATAACTTTTAAATAAAGGATGAAGATAAGCAGAAAGAGAAAGAAAAGTCAAGGCGAAAGCCCAAGAAAAATAAACGCGATTTATGCAAACTTTGTCAAATACGTGATGCACTGAATGACTACGAATGTTTGCTCTTCAATAAAGTGGTTGATGAAAAGACGAATATGACCGAAGGTTTGGAAAATCCCTCTTTGGAAGTGGCGCTCATTAAAAGTATGTGTTTTGATGTTTTTTTTTTTTTAAATTCAATAATCAACACATAATTTATGTTTTTATTATGGAAATAATAATTATTTTTAAAAGTTAATATTTCATTATTGTTTTGCACAGTTTTATGCCAATTTTTGCGTACAAAATCCAAGTTCATTAGCTACATACCACAAATGGACAAACATTGGGAGGCAATTGAATGTGTTCAACAACGTTGTAAGAAGCTTATAAAGTATTGGATCGAAATTGAATATACCGTAAAAGCTTATGATGAATTGGATATGTGTAAAATGCGCATATCTTTAGCGGAAGAGGAAGAAGAGAAGTCACATTTCAAAATACTCGATTATGAGGTTATTTTTTTATTTATTAAAATTTATTACAAACAAAAAATTGTAATGTTATATCTCTTTCAAAAACAGTTAGATGACACCTTTGCTGAACAACAAATGAATTTGCACAGCGCACAACGTCAATTCGCCATGAAGCTTGCGCGTCTCAAGTACATAACACATTTGGAAGCGGATGGCTCTAATGGGCCATGTCCAATTTGTCAAACCGAAGATGAAAATCGTGTAAGTTAATTTTACTACACTTTTTATTTAAGTGTCATAACTCAAAAAATATGAATTTTGAATTAAAAATGCAGAAATGTGCGCAACATAAAGAGCGGTGTGGTGTAAAAAACTCTTCCAAATTAATGAAAAATATAAAGGGATTGGAGCCAAAAAAAAAAAAGAAAAAAATATTGCACTTGATTTTCGCTTTACATTATACTACATGCACAAAAACATTACATGCAAATATTTTAATTAAAAAAAATCAGTCCTATTTCCAATTCTACAGAAAACTTATATTTTTTGAGTTATGTTACTATTTTAGCAAATTATACGCATTTTTAATGTATTATTTATTAATATTTAAAAAAAAAAAAAAAATCTAACCTCAAATAGTATGCTGTACTGGAGTGTGGTCACAATATATGCCTACTCTGCTTGCGCAGAATACGTGAATATGAAATCAATATGCATCGAAAATTATGTTGTCCGATTTGTCGTAATCAACAAAGTTCTGAAAAGTTAGTAGTGGAATTATTATGAAAAAAATATCTTGGAATATTTTATTTTTTTTTTAATTTTAAATTTTAAATTTTACCCTTTTTTAGAATTTACTACGTTACACGCACTGCCACACTTTCGACTGAGGAAGAGATACAAATTGTTGGCGATTATTCAACCAAAATTACCTATATTGTGCGCCTGATACTGAAGCTACAACGTGAACATGCTAAGGATGTACAACCTTTAAAGATTTTAGTATTCTCTCAATGGACCGAGATTTTACAGCCTATCGCTACGGCTTTAAAACAGAATGATATACGGCATAGACTCAATTTAACAACGCGCAGTATTGAAGAATTTAAGGTGTGTATACATAAATAATTTAACACTTTTCATAAATATAAAATTTTTTTTTTTTCAAATTTTCTTTAGAACCCCCAGCTTGGTATAACTTGCTTGTTAATGCCTTTGCGTAAGGGCTGTAATGGCCTAAATTTAATAGAAGCCACACATGTTTTTCTCGTCGAACCGATACTTAATCCTGGCGAGGAAGCGCAGGCTATCGGGCGCGTACATCGTTTCGGGCAGACGAGGTTAATTACTTTTATCGCTTGCAATCTTTAACTCAAACTTTATTTTATTATTTTTTTTTTTCATTCTCTTCCACGTAGATCTACCACTGTACATCGTTTCATTGTTTGCAATACAATTGAGGAGAATATACATAATGTTGTTAATGCTGGCAAGCAGTCGCAAGCCAATTGGGAATTTAAACAAATGTCCGTTGAGAGTTTGCGTAATCTATTTCGCTTGGAAAATGATGTTAGTGAGGAGTTCATACCGCACGCGGAGGAACCCATGGAAATGGCATAAGTGAAGGCGTAATTTTCTCTATTTAGGTTGTTGAAACAACAGAAAAACAAAAACTTTCGTAAAAAGAAAATCTATGAGATTTCGCTGTACCAAATTGATAAGGGTATAAAATAATAAACCAGAAAATAATAAATAAAAACTACACAAAATTGTACTAAGCCTGCCAGTATTTAATTATAAATGTTAAATACAGTTCGTCAGTATTCAGTGTTTGTAAAATATTTTTTATACCAATAAAAAAATAATAAACACAAAAATATGTTTTATTCCCGTTTGTTATTATTATGAAGCGCTTTCAATGAATCGCTGGGAAATTATTCTCTTCGAGATACAAAATCTTTATACGTACTTTATTTAAATTTTTCAAAAATTACCCATTTCTACACAAAAATCCCTCATAATTTAATGCTAACGAATGCAACCATGTAACAATGTGAATTTCACCATGAAACCGAAGGAAACTCACCCATGTAGATATTTGCAGTTGAAAGCTTCGTATTTTTCGTGACTGCACCAAAGAACGCAAAGAACATATAAGAATTTTTATTTGAGTTGAATTTAAAGTTGTATAATGTGATTTGGAGCAGAAAATTTGCAATCAAACGCTTTTCCATGAAGAATCTCTCAAAATTTTTTGCTGCAATTTAGTGAAAGTTGTGCTAAGTGCGGCGAAATCATATCTGATTTATACATAATTTTGGCGCAAACGTTGCGCTGTATGTGACGCTTCTAAAAAAAATTTTGAAGAAAAAAAAATCACTCGAAAAACGAAAAAACAATGGCATTGACCGTAGTGAAGTACCGAAAGCCCATCGCGGGTGAAACAAGTGCATCAACAACACCAACTCCAACGATATTGATAAAGAGTAAACTACAACCGCAGTTGCAGTCACAACAGCAACAACAAATTACAAAGGTACAAAGATGCAAATAAGGAGAGTTTTCCAATTAGAAATAGCCAAGTTTTAGTATATTTAGATTAGACAAGATTTAAGTCGCTGGGTCTTTCAAGTTAATTACGTTTTTAATGCATAAAAGTTCTTACAAAACCTATCTCTCGTTTGTGCATATACCACAGAGAATGTACATAAATACATTCTCTGCATACCCACTTATATGAAGGCACATATATAATTCCTATTTTTAAACAGACAACAGTAACCTGATGGTTTGAGGCTTAGCTAAATTGAAGCAATGCTGAGAAAAGTTTTGCCATAGAATTTCTAATGAAAATTATGTGTTCGGCTTTTATTAAAAACACGTTATTTTTTTTCAATCTGAAATTAAATGATAGCCTGTCACGTCCAATTTCTCAAAACAAGTTATAGAGAACCTAAAATTCCATTAAAAAATAAACCAGGCAAATTCATGAAGGGGATGTTCCGCTTTCATTTCGCCGCAACCGTAGTCAAGAAAACAAAGATTTCAAACTTTTCACTGTTATAAATATATTAATCGTAAGGTTAAAAATAAACAAATCGGTCTTACAATATCTACACTAAAATTTATTAATATATGACAAATTCGCTTAATTAGTTTGAATCGCCTTGGCTTTTGAAAACATGTCTGAAAACAAATGTAAATCGCCTTTATTTGCTATATGAAGCGAATTTTTTAAATTTAGTGAAATCAGGTAACCTAATTTCTTATCACAGTACGGCAACGCGCCACACACATTGCTACGCAAGTCGAACACCCTCGTTACATTAGACTGAATGAGACAGCTATATTTGTGTATAGAAATTAATTCACTTTTTATCTTCGACAACGCGCTGCATTCTCATATTTTCATAATCGTGCTGATTTATTTCGAATTATTTGGTAATTATTAAACAGATTAGTTGTATTATTAGTATTGCACATTTAAGGTAAATATATGTTAAAGCAAAGCAGTTTTAATTTATATTATTTTGTTACGTTAAATGCAGCTGGAGCGCTGTTTTGTAAAGCGAGTAACTTGCTGATGGCGCCCTTTTGTTAGAAATAGCAAGGCCACCACTTCAAGAGCGTGAAAAGAAAGGTGTGCGCTGTTACGAGCATTAAAAGTGTTAAATTATCAGCATAAAGTAGTATTTGATTTGTAAAGCGTGAAATATTGATAGAAGTGCCTAGGGTTATTGAGCAAATTTCATAACAAGTAATTTAAAAAGTTTATTTCATCATACGGTGTTTCTCACATGCTTGAATATTCTACAATTTTTTAGAAACCGATAATAAAGTTGGGAGCTGGCACAAATTTAATTATAAATAAAATACCTGCAACTATAAAACCCGCCGTGATGAAACGCAACAGCACTTCAACTATAGGTAATGTATTTATCGCGCATAAACTTAACTATTGATTATTAAATAAAATTCTTTCATTTCAGAACCGCCATTCAAATCTACCAAATATTCACTACAAACGATTGCCAGTGCTGGCACACCACTAACAAGTTTTCAATGGCAACAGACAATTGGTGGTCCTGGTGGCACAACTATAACCACAACACCAGCTAAAAAGCAACAGATTGGCGCTGCCATCAGTTCACTACCGCCCAATACAATCATACAAACGAGTAGCGGTAGCGGCGCCGTGACTAACACCACCAATGGTGGTATAGGTACAACAATTACACCAGCTGGTAATGCCACCAGCACCACCACCACATTCAATGCGATCACACCGCAGGGTACAACGGTTCAAGTTCGTCGTCCAACTATAGTTATTAAACGCGATATACCCAAACGTACAATACGTTGTGTTACACTCGAATTGATTGAAAAGAATCCCTATGTACATTTGGGTGTTTTGGCTAATCGTTTGCCCCTACTGAAGAATATAATATGCACTACGGCCAATGTAACGTTACTCGATTGTTATGTGACACTGAAGAAATTACGTCAAAATGAAGAATTCGCATTACTCGCTGAATACTTTGAGCTGAGCGAGGCGGAGGTGCAACAAATATTTGCACGTACCATAGTTAAACTGGCACGCTATTTACGTTATTTGGTGCGTTGGCCTGATAGTAAAAAGTACTATGATCGTCATAAAAATCTGCCATTTGCTTTTCGATCGAATTTATCGCATGTACAATCGCTGATTGAGTGCGTAGAAACGGATATGCAGCGTCAAATGCAAAATGATTGTAGCAATTATAAATTCATATTAAGCATTACACCGAATGGTGAGTATATACATACACCTTGAATATTACTTAAAATTTAAACAAAAATCCTTTCCATCCACTCACAGGCATTATTTCTTATATTTCGGATGCATTTGTGGGCCATCATGATGATCTAACGATATTTACAGCATCAGATTTCCAAAATGTCATACCCAAATACCTATCTTTGGTTGCTGATCCAGGCAAAGGCATACGTCGTAAACGAAAAACCAAGCATCTCTCTAGCAGCAGCAGCAGTGCAGCACATGGTAGTGGTAATGCCGAAACAGACTCAACTACAGATTCGGCTGATGAATCGGCAGACGATGTTGAATTGGATGATGGCGAGGATACACAAACACTGAGTCGTTATGCAGCATCTCGTGTGGCTGCGGATTTAGTCTCCCATCAAACAATGAATATCGTAAATAGCGAATTGACATCGCGAAAAGTAAAAGACTTTAGCATTCCGACAATGCGTGTACGGGAGCCCATATGTCGTCAACAAATACGTCATATGATCTATTGTCTGCGAGAATTTAAACTTTTGCAACCGTATGCCATACAAGAGCCAATTATTTTCCAATATCTCAATGAGGTATTAATCGCAGCAGCGGCGCTTACCAATCTACAAAGGTAGAAATGCAGGAACAGGCCAAACGGCATGTAGTTAGCATTAATCAACACTAATATGAAATGATAGGAAACCCCCAAAACTGACAAGCGCATGCCGCACAATGTTTTCTATAGCGCTTACGAATCTACGCTTAATGAACTCACGAGAAGCTTGTGGAAAAGCATGCACTTTTCAAAATGGGAGTAGAGCAACTAACGAGTGCCGACAGCTCAACACTGACCATAAGGATTGCTCATGTTGGGCAATGTTGATAAAAAAAATTCACCTCAACAAAAACAAAAAAGAAAAACATATTGTGCAGTTGTATGAGAGCGGCACTTGGTAATAAGGATTCTAGTTTAAAAAAAAATATATATTTAACTTTTGTTGTGCGTTTTTGCATGCCCATTTGTAATATTAATTTTTACATAGTAAAGATGTATGTTTAAAAAAATATCAAAAAATGGAATTATGAAACATACATGTAATAGCAGCAACAAAATTAAGCAATAGCAATACAGCAGTTAAAAAAATAAATATATATATATAAATATAAATACATAAATATTAAAAATAAATTCAACTAGCTGTGCTGATATGATAAACGATATTTTTTGCACTTACCTCAGCACGATTCTAGTAAATTAGCATTTTTTTTTTTATAAATTTCACTATAAAATATTACTGCACACTGGAAGAAAAATGTAATTGTAAATAAATAAAAAAAAAAAACCTAAACACAGATTTATTACAATTAATTTTCTAGTTTTGTATAATACTTATTGTCGCTTGTTGCAATAATTGTATTTATTTTATTTTGAAAATATAAAAAAATAAATAAATAAAATGCAGAATAAATTTTAATGAAACTTTTGTCTTAATTTTTGTATTTTAATTGCCTTGAAACTACAGTAGGTGTACGAAGTGACTACCTTTTCGTTGACTGGCCATAGGCAAACCGCTCCGCCAGCGCCACTTCCTAAAACAAAAGATGAACTTCGTACAATCACAAACAAAAAAAAAAAAACAAACAACACTACGCTATAAAAATTCACTTCATTATGTAGAAAGTTTTCATACTGACCGCCATTCAGCGCTAATTTGCTCATCAAAAAAGTTGCTCCTTATTAGTAAACAAGCATTGAGGGCGGGGGAAGTTTTTTGTTATTGTTTACGCTTTGGTCGTTTGTGTATGTGTTTATAAGCAAAATTTTTAATTTTTTCCATTAAACAGTTAAAATCGCATTAAAGTTGGTAATAGTTGCTGTTTTTGTTGAATAAATGGTTGCTAGGAATTCACTCTTACGTCACTAATAAGAGCAACAATAGTTCATATAAAAAAGTATATGTATGCTTCGACCGTTTAAAGGTGTGAAAACTCCAATTTTGTACGATAGACCCCACAATAGCTCGATATTATTGGCAGTTACTTAATTCAACGTTGATCACTAAATTCAAATTCACTTAAAATAGAATTAATCGCCATAACATTGAATTTGAGCTAATAAAAATTTTATTCAGCTATGTGAAATTGTAATTCAGCGCTATGTAAAATCATAAAATGTGATACAAGTTAAGCACATTAGGTTTTTAATGTCATTCTGCTTCATATAATTACATTCAGCACAATAAAAAGGCAATTCCATTGCATTAAGTTGTTTCATTCAGTGATTTTAAGAACTAAATTTAAAGCAGAATACCTTTGAAGGTAAATTTTGCTTAATAAACATATTCAGCGCCAAAATATAATACAATTGCAGTGCTGCTGCCGAGTTTAATTTAACCCGAAAACATTAGTTTAGCAGAGTTCAGCTGGAAAATTGTCAACATCATATAAACGAATTCAGCTACTCTGGTAATTTAGTTGAAATTTGAATTGGAAACTTTTTAAACGAAATTATGTGACTGTATATCATTAAAATACATTCAGCGCTCCTCTTGACTCAGTTTAGTCCTACAAAAAATATTCAATCACATAAAATTTGATCACAAAAGTATTTGTTATTCATATTATTTTAAGCAATAAATTTAAAATTTGGCGTCCTGATGCAGTTTCAATGCAAAATTGTAATTTAGCTTCATTAAAACACAATTCAGCTTCATCTAATCTAATTCAGCTAGACAAAATTTTAATTCGGCGTTACAAAACGTAATTAAGCTGAGCAAAAATGTAATCCAGCTGAGCAAAAATCAGCTAAAAACCTCTTTAATCATTATTCTTACATTGAAGTCAGCACTTAGAAATAAAAATTAATGTCTTTACGTAACCCCCAAGTAAAAGATTAAGCTAACAAAAATAGTTTCCAATTGATTCAGGGTCACTAAAATGCACTTTATCTCCTAAAATAAATTCAGCTTCATTAAAACGCAATTCCGCCTAATACAAATATAATTTAGCTGGATAAAAATTCAGCTCGTGCAAAAAGCTGCTAAAGATAACGTGATTAATTAATTCAGTGCTATTTATATAATGGTTTTAAAGTTGAGTTCATATAATTGTAGTAGTCCATTCAGCGCTTTAAAAGTGGTATAAATTGCTTATCTAAATTTTAGAGAAATAGAATTATAGCTTAATTCAGCATCGCAAGCATTATCAGCTCATTGGAGCTCAATTCAGCACAAGCTTATCGCAAATAAATCTGATTTAATAAAAGCGAAATAGCCTCCTAGTCTCATTCAGTTTGAAATAAGTGCGATTCAGCTAACGCCAAGAGCAATAAATAAACGGTTAAGGCCAATTCAGCTCAATTTCATTGCCGACACTATGCAAACCTCATGCGAAGACCGAAGAATTTGCTTAATTTAAGGGGAATAATGCTATTCAGCTACTTAAAATTTTATTTTAGCACTAAAAATTCATAAATGTTTGTTCAAAAAATTGAGGAAAATCATATATGGCTTAATTGTATATCATTAGTGTATTCAGCTCATGGAAACGTAATTTAATTAAATCAAATTAACTGCCTAGTGTGGAATTAAGGCCGATTCAGCACAGTGTTTGTAGTAATAGTACAATTCAGCGCTTCTAAAAGGCTGAAGATTTATAAAATAGTAACTAAATGCCTTTCCAGCTTAATTCAATGAAACAAAAGTTTTATTCAGCTACATAAAATTTAATTCAGCGCCATAAAACCCCAAACAACTTAATCAGCTTCATTTTAAATTTTTAATTAGAGCGTATGTTATCATATTTCTTTCATTTTTTGCTCTCCCGGCCATTAAAGATCCTCTAACCTAATCCAAACTGATTATAAGTCCTTGCAATAATTACTCTGGTTCTTCTATTCCCTCATTTGCTCGACTTGCATAATTACAGCAATTTTACGCAAGCACACTTATCTACGCTAAATGTTCCTTTTTTGCTTGTTGTTGTTATTATTTTATCTAAACAACTTTTCCCGTGCTAACTGTTGGTCAGCCTTAAATGCCAGCCGGTGGTTTGGTCCTTCGTCCTGGATATTCCTCTTTTCTAGGCTCCGATGGGAACATGCCGATGCGTTTTCTTATTATTCTTATTGTTGTTGTTGTTGTTAGCATGCGTTTAGTAGGTAAATATGCGGCTGATTGTTTACATCTGCGAACGCCGCAGCAAATACTGGGAAACTTTTCAAAACTAATTAAAACGATAAGAAGTTTAAGGGGGAGAAAAATAGACGAAGAATATGGAAAAAGAAGTGGAAATCGTTTAGTTGCTGCTCGGACAGATGTAAAAGTTTCTATTTTTCACTTTTTTTTCATCTTTACTTCATAAGGCTTTTAACTATGTAAAGATATGTAAATAGGAACTGGTCGCCGAGCTCTTGCTGCATGAAGGGAGGAGTTCTAAACTACTTTAAAAAGAAAGAAAAAAATAAGTGCGCGTTGGAAAATTGCTCTTTTAAAAGCCGGATGGGTAATAAATAATACGTGAAATGATTTAATTATAAGTAAGTCGAAGTTCTGCTCAAAGGTCAATGGAAGTGGTATGTAGAACTTTCGATGTTCATCAGAAAAGGATCAGATCGATCGTGTGGAACGTCCCACCATGGCTAGTTTTGTCTTGAGAAGTCGAGCTGAGAGAACCTCCGGCTAGTGCTTCGGGGTTGGAATGTATCGCTCCATAAATAATGGGATTTGGAATGTCCGGTGATGACCTCAGGAAGATCAACGCTTCGAAGACAAGAAAACAGCATATAACCGTGTATATTACCGATTTGCACTCCCACCCGGGTGAACAAAACAGGCTTCCCGAATCTTCTTTGATGTGTGCGTACCACTTGCTCGATGACAAAACTGTTCATGGAGGATGGTAGAGACTGCAGCCTAAAAAACAAAAAACAAAAAAAAAAAAACTAGATTAGATTGCTTTAGCAGCTCGCTAACCCCTCTTCCGAGCAGTCAAAGCTAGACCCTGTCATCGATGTTCGACCAGGAACCAGCAGACCAGCTGTGTTGATTTGGAACGCCTCTTTGGTTTCAGGGGTTCAAGAATTTATCCCGATAAGGCGTCACAGTCATAAGCGGCAGCTAAATTACAATGGTTTTTGTGGCAGCCTGGTCTTTAGGCCAAAACAATCCGCGTTCTTGAGCAGCTGCCAGCCCCGCAGAGCATTCCCTCAAAAAAAAAAAAAAAAAAAAAAAAAAAAAAAACAATTTATGTAATCTCTTGACGGTTTTAACAAAAATATTATCGACAACAGGCTTGGAACAATTGTTGAGGAGTGTTGAGAGTCTGGATAAGTAGAAGTTGAGTCCGCTATAATATCCGGACCTTAGTTACTTACTCTGGTCTCAGGATGCAGGTAGAACTCTTGTGCTCGTGCTCGTCTGCAATAGGCGAAAGTCGGGTTCTAAAATCGCCCTTCACACGAAGAGATGGTGACTGTGTGAACAATGCTGTAGTGGTACCTCCTTTAACGCTCCAGCAGATACTGTCTGCTAAGTAGTATATCAGACGGGCCTGCCTATGGCTTCGTCATTTGCCTCTAACTAGTTGTCGGCCTGCAGATTCAGATCTTAGCCGGTAGCGTAAATGTCTTACAGTGAAGGTGGTGTTCAAGGGATATGACTAGGTTTCTGGTACTCATGGCGATTTTCGAGAGATCTTCAGCTCTAACAACGGCAGCCAGATCGGTGCAGCCGCTTAATGATTGCCTTTTAGCCTGCCAGAAACGATTATTTTTCTCTCCGCCGTTGCTGCCGGCTAGTGACGTGAGTATTTGGTTCCGGCTCTATGACTGCTTATTGCTTTCGTATGCGAAGAGAGAGAGAGAGAGTACAGAATGTAAAATATAATATCAGTTCTGGAAATTTCCCTCATGGACTTTAACATATAGCTCTAGCCGGTATTCTTTCATCCAGCTGACGGAGAACTTCGCCATGAATTAGGTA